CCCTTCTGATCTCCTATAAGTAATTGTTTTAAGCAGTATATTCATCTCAGGTGTTATTGTTTATTTTATGGGCTTGTTTATTGTTTGGCTCCATTAGATCTTGATATGGTTCTCTGCAGTCTGGAAACCTGTGAACAGATAGATGGGTTATCTTTCTCACTCTCAGCCTGCAGTCCCCCATACAACACACTTAATAAAACTTGTAAGAAATAAACGGAATAACTGAAACAGAAACTGCCTTCAGGAAAATAGAAGAAAGGAACGCTGAAGACTCAATGGGCAAGAGCAGTTACAAAATCCTACTGGGCATAGATTATAAAGACACTTTGTAACAGCAGTGAAATAAGATTCTTGATTAGTGCATCTGGCCACATTAGTTCTCTTTTCTGGGAGTTACATCAGATTTACTGGAAGGTTCTTGTTTATTCTTTATCCTTGATGGCCCTATCTGAATTGGGTGCAGTAGAGTATAGCTTCCTTGGAGACTTCACAATTTTTGCGGCATGCTTCCTGCTGATGCATGCTTGGGAGCCCGAGGATTACCTTAGGGATCACATATGGCAGCAAAATCTAATGAGAAGATTTTGAGGACATCATTGAGCATCACTCATTATCTCCTGCTTTTTGGAATACAGTAGCAAATGGCTTTCCTAATTCTTTGAAGTCCCAAATTTGTGAGTCCTCTGTCAGTTTAAACTATAGAACTAAGACATAAACCAGATGAAGATAGCCTCTTTAGCAAAGTTCCATTCCTTTCATTTCTTCTGACAATTCAGTTCTTATTTAAGCTTATATCTCTTGTAAACGTTTCTAAAAGCAGCGAGGATCACTAACCAGTATTTTCCCCTAGTGCCATAGGATACACAGGCCTATAACCTGCCTTCCAAGTTACCACTTGCAATGGTATAACCAAGGTAATCATATTACCAGACTCCAGTATTTGTTTCCTTTCCTCCTACTAAGTTAATGCCACCTTTTTTTTTTAATGGCAAATTCACACTTCTGTATACTAATTTCTATGTTAGACTAACCTGTTGTTACGGATTCAAAATTTAGTGACTCAAATAAGATAAAAATTTATTTTTCTTGCTTAACAATCCCAGAAGTAGTCAGTGGTGTAGAGTATGTAAGAAAGTCTGTTCCATGTGATCATTCAGAGATAGAAGTTCCCCCCCTGCTGCTGTTCCATGACTTCGTAGAGCATCATCTTTATTTGGACCGATGGATACTAAATCATCACTATGTCTGCATTTTGCCAGTTGAGAACAGGAAGGTGCACAAGTCCAAGACGGGCAGCTTGTTCTTAAATTGGAAATGACCTCAAGGTTGCCCCTTCATTTCTGTTCACATTGCGTGTTCCCTAACTTAGTCACAAGGTCACTGCTAGCTGCAAGGGTAGCTGGGGGATGTATTCCCTAGCTGAGCAGCCATTTTTCCAAGTAAAATATTTTTCTTTGGAAGAGATGAAAAGTAATAGTTGGATAAGCAAAGGTATGGATTCTGACGGAGTCCATTATGATTATCATCCATTATTTTTCCAAATCATAAGCAAATGTGTTGTATCCCACATTTCCTTTTTTAGAGTTCTGAAAGTTAAAATTCCCTCTTGGTGTGTATCTATCATTTATAATAGACAATAACTGGAGCCTCTTTATTACTGTTCTTTTGCTCTCCTTTATCTTCATCAAATAAAATTAAGGTTGGAATCCAATGAGAAACAGAGTAATGCCTCTATATAGCATTCTGTGCTACTGGTCTTCAGGCACATGCTTGGGGAAATATGATCAGAGGCTCACTCACAGAAAAATTATTAATTGTGATCAAGGCAGGGAGAAGCTGCTATCAATGCTAGCATTTTTCTCCATATCTCCTAAACATGGGAGTTTTGCTTGTTAAATCATATTGCATAATCTCATGACTGCCATTTCTTGATAATCTAGGGAACTGATGTAACAGCTTGCAGGAATGTAGTACACCTAGTGATTGCATCACTTCTATTAATGTAAGTACATGAAAGAAGAGAGAAACCTCCAGCCACCAGCCAGTGGAATTAGACTTCTACACTCTCAAGTGATTGGAAGATTGGGGAGGAAAACATCTTACCATAGTTTTATCCTAGATAGTTTGTATGTAAATATCTTGAGCAATGAAGGCAGAGCCAGGTAATTTTTCCAGCTTCCTTACACTAAAATTGAAGTCAGTGCATATTTTCTTGCCCGGGAAGATAAAAATTACCAAACTTCCCTCTGTCTCTAACTCTTCATCTCTAGTGTGTACACTTTTACTTTCTTTTTTGCATCTCTTTCCTTACTATCAGTGAAATCTGAAGTACTTCATATAATGACACCTATGAGATAACCTTGAGGGATAATGACAATCACATTCAGAGAAACATATAATTTTAGTTCTTCTGTTTTTTGTTCCAGCCTAACCCTTTGGCATCTATAAAATTTGATATTTGATATTAAGTCATATTCTTGCCACACTTGTATGTACTTAAAAGAAATTCATAATCTTGAGATAATTTATAAATTAAGATTTAGATGGAGGGCAATGGTATCTACCTTTGAACAAAGGAGTTCATTTTGAGCAAAATATACAATGTATTAGAAAAATTTATAGATCCTCAAGTAATATTTTTTTAAAAATTAATTCATTGCCAAATATGAAGTTAAATTAAAATAATTTTCATTTTTGCATAGTATTCTAAAACATTTTGACTTCATTACAGTAGGCTACTCATTTAAATGGCGTCTAATCTTCCTATTAGCAATTCATTCTTTTATTCTACAAATATTTATTGAGCAGCTATCATGTGCCAAGCATTGTTCTAGAACAATCAACCTGGAACAATGAAATCAAGTGAACAAAGGAGACTAAGTTCCTTTTCCAAGGAGCTTCCATTCTAGACCTGGAAGACAGCCAATAAGTAATTAAAATGTGTGTTTGTGTGCCTGTTAATGTAATACGTACAGCAGTGAATGATGAACGCTAAGATAAATAAAGCAAGGTAAGATAGGTGAGTGCAAGCTTAAATGGATGGGTAAATCGGTTTAATTGATTAATAATCAAAACCTCCATTGCCATCGAGTCAATTCCAGCTCATAGTGATCCTATAGGACAGCAAAGAACTGCCCTATAGGGTTTCCAAAGCAGTTCTACTCTATGGAGGCAGACTGCCACATCATTTACTGCAGAGCTGCTGGAGGATTCAAACTGCCAGCCTTTTGGTTAGCAGCCAAGCACTTAACTACTGTGCCACTAGGGTTCTTAATTGATTAATTGCTAGTTTAAATAGATTATGAGAGGGAAAAAACCCCTAAGTGACATTTGACTGAGTTCTAAAAGAATGAGAAAGAACAATTGGATATTCAGGAAACACATATTCCAGGTAGCTGGAACAGCAAATGAAAAGGCCTTGGGACAATAATGTGCTTGGCATATTCAAGGATCAGCTAGGATAACAGCAAACCCTGAGCAGAGTGAGCAGAGAGGAAGTGGTAAAGAATGAGATCTGAGAAATTTTAGGGGACCAGGTTGTGTAGGCGAGATAAGAATTTGAGACTTTTTTTTCCTAAAGGAGATGAAAGTATTTAGAAGTATTCAAATTTTTATACATTTTTTAACATAGAAGGAATTTGCATTTGGATTGAACATTAGGTGTGAGAGAAAAGCAACACTAATTAATTTAAGGTGTTGTCATTTATGAAAATGGGAAGAATGTAAAAATAAAAGATTTGAGGTGGAAGGAACATCAATGTTTTGTATTTTGATATGTTAACTTTGACACTCAAGTGGAAATGCGTAGTAGGCAGTTGGATATGAGACCAGAGTAGAGGGAATGTGCCAAGGCTGAGGTTATAATTTGGAAGACATAAGAATAAAGATGGCTCTGAAGCCACAGGATCAGATGAGATTGCCTACTGGCTGTTCTGATGTCTTCCAAATTATATCCTCAGCCTTGGGAGTATAAATAGAAAAGGGAAAAATTCTAATAACTGAGCCCACATGGTCTGCAGGGTTAAGTGGACGGGAAAATGAGGAGGTACCAACAGAGAAGAATGAAGAAATGTAATGAGTTAAGCGACCCCTGAGAGAGATGTCAGAAGCTGTGTTAAGTGGTGCTAATAGATTGAGTAAAATGAGGACCGAGACTTGACCATTGGACTTGAAAAGGTTGAGCTCTTGAAAAGAGCTGTTACCATGGAGCAGTGGGAATAAATAGCCTGACTGGAACGTGCTCAAGAGTATATGGAAGGAGAGGAGAGGAAAGAGTAAGTAGAGTCACTTCAAGAAATTTTTCTGTAATGGGCCAGATAAAGAGATAGTAGCTGGAAGGAGATACTGCTTTAATGGATACAAGGTATATATGGTGTCTGGATACTAACTAACTTCTCCTTAGAGGGGAATGCTGCAGGACAAAGCAAGAACAATTGTAGTGGGAGAAGACATTAAATAACTTTAGAGTAAGAAATAAAGGGAGGACCGCTTTTTGTCAGTTATTGAAATGCAGAAGCATCTAGCAAAATAGTAAGTGAAGTGAAACAGCTTGTATATTTTGTAAGAGATAGAGGGTACTGTAAATATCATTTCAGTGTTTGGAAGTAAAGATGAAATTGATGCATATTTCTTAATGTAACTGCATTAAGAGCCATACGTGATTGACCAGATTGTAATCTTACATAGCACTTTTTCTTGGAAATGGACCTTTTATAACTCTCCTCTGGACAAATTTTGAATTATTATACTTGTGTTTTAGGGAAAATTTGATTTATAAAACTGGAAGATAAAGAAGTACTGAGGTGGCATGAGAAAAAATCATAGCACTCCTTGTTGATAACCTGTTTTTCTTACTAAATATTTCCTTAGGATTGTGTTTCATGCCTAGAGTTTCCTACGATAGTAACTTAGCACACATTTTGCCTTCAAATTCCATATGAGTTTCTGGGTTGATTCTTCCTGATTACGGTAACATTGATTGCTGTCTAAATCTGTTGCAGTGTACCTGAATACTATGACTATGGTCATGGAGTAAGTGAGGATGCCTATGACAGCTACGGTAAGACCTTTTCTTTACTAAAACTGTGAAATGAGAATATCCATCAGTCACTGACAACTCAGAAATTACTTCTATTTTTCTCCCCCCAGTTTTTACAGAAGTCCAGACTAAATTGATTTATGTAATTCCAGGGTAAGATTTAACTTACAAAGTCAGTGCCAGAAAATTGGACATCAATTTTGATCAAAATTTCAAAAGCAATTAATCACAATCATAGATCAATGTCAATGGCAACAGTGAGCATTCTGAATGCTATCTTAAATGTTTCACTGTGTCCATTGTACCACTCATTGATTTGACAACAATGCTGTGTCTTTTTCCGTTCTCACATATGTCATCAGAATAATATACACTTAAATTTTTTTTTTTAATTGTTAAGGGCAGAAATTGTGGGTTTTAGGTTGTTTTTTATAGTGTGCATTGTTCTTAAAAGGTCCCTGGGTGGCACATACGGGTAAGTGCTCAACTACTAGATGAAAGGTTGGCAGTTCAAACCTACTCAGAGGTTTTTCAGAAGACAGGCCTGGTGATCTGCTTCCAGATGGTCACAGGCTGGAAAACTCTGCATACATGGGGTCACCGTAAGTCAGAATGGACTCAGTGACAACTAACATCAACAACAATCATTCTTAAAAGTGCCAAAAAATATTAGCTCATTAGACTTAATAGTTAATAAGACTGCCAGTCTATAAAATTAATTAATTTCAAAAATACACTGTTGAATTAAAATACCACTTAAAATTAATTGGAATTCATCCAGTGACAAGGGCCAGAAAGCAGAAGGAGACAAAGAAGCTGGTGATACGGAACCCAAGGTTGAGTAAGGATATTGTTGATGTGTTGTGAGATTGTTAACCATTGTCATAGGGCAACATTTGTAGTAACT